TAATGCTTTGTTCTTGTAATAGGCATGAAAGTGAGATTCGTGAGTGATAACGCTCTCGGAATTTTAGGTCGAAAATCCATATGCTACTGCTTGCTTTCGTTGCTGGTTTATATGGACCTGTTTCCTTGGATCCTATTCGCCCCCGTGTCATTGGGGTTTGCCGCTGTGCGTGTGCTTACTTGTAAGAGTGAACTTTCTACGTTCTTCGATTTAGATGAAATATTCCATGTCGACGAAAAAATTTTGGACGGCGATTACGTTTGACTTCTTATCGTTTCTCTGCTTGATCTTCCTGTTCCTGTACTTGTCGTTTTGTCTGACCGGCAATTGGAGCTTCGTCTACGGCGCATATGGCTTCGTGTAGGTTGTTCCGCGGTCGTGTGTGATTAGCTGTATACCACTTACTGAGGTTTCAGGCTTAATGTGCCGGACCTAACTCCAAATGTCGGTTTATTTTGGTACTATTTTACCGAAATGTTCGACCATTTTCGGATATTCTTCTTGTGCGTATTTCACATCAATCCGCTGATTTACGTTTTTCCTTTGGGTCTTTGCCTAAGGTATGATTTATTCTTTATTTTTCATATCTCTTTAGTTTTTGTTAATATATTATGCTACTTCTCGTTGTTTGTTGTGGTCGTTGCCTTGAACATGTCCTGTTTTTAAAGTCCACAGTATTCACAGCTTTTCAGCCGTTTTACTGTTAATCATTGGCTGCAACGTCGTGACAGAAATATATCCTAGAGCCTGATCTGCTTTTAACGTATTCATCCATGTTAAACGCTGCCGTATTCATCCATTCATCCATGTTAAACGCTGCCTCCTAATCAATGTCTGTCAAGTTTCAGCCCTTCGAAACTTTGCTACGCATGCGTTCATTATGAACAGTAAAATGTTCATAGCGCCTGATTTAATGTCATATTGCTGTTTTATCATGTAAGACTTTGAAATCAAGTAATCTGAAAGCTAGGCAGTGTACTCAGGAACATTCATTATAGACAGTTTGATGATTTTACCATTATTAAGGTTAACGAATTTTTGTTCAGGCACCATCTATTTGTTTACTTTTATTTGCTGGTCATCATTGTCAATCTGTTCAAACCGTATCCATCGGTTGCCGATATGGCAGTGGTGGTCGCGATGCTGCCATGCTGGTATCACGTAAACAAATGTAACGCAGCATCTTGTTCCTGCTCGACGTATGGATGGCTGTTTAGACATGCGGCACAAGTTTCTCATCTGCTGCACGATGCTGTTGTGTTTCACGCTTATGCCAACGATGTGGTACCTGTGGATCGATTGCGGCGTAGCGAATGCGAATTTCTATTTCGGCGTAACACTCGGATATTCCATTTCGCTGGTAGCTTTACTTCTTGTTGTTGCGTCTTCAAATGATTATTGTTAGGTAGTGTTATTGACTGATTTGCTTTATGCCGTGCTCAGAACTGATTTTCATCTGGTGGCTGGCCTCAAACCGTGCGTGGATGGCAAAGAAGGAATCGTTGTACTGGATTGAAAGTAGCGAAATATCTGCATTATCGTCGTTGGTTAGGCCTGTTCATTTGCTTGTTAACAGGAGCATCAAGAAACCAGGTACTAAACTATCTCATATAGGTATATCTACATTATGCTCTAAGAATACGCTGCACAACGTCGATCCTGCCAGAAAGTTAGACAAGTTTACGTTGTCATGATTGTTTTAAAATTGTTATTTATGACTAGACTGAAATAGCCATTTTGGCTTTTTTGAATTGCACAGTGTACCACAGACAGAGAATAAATATACTGGCACATTCTAGTAAAGTGATGCCAGTGAAAATGACAGAATAAATTTTTGTTTCATTCATTTGCTTCGCATTCGTTTATATCGTATCGTCCTGAAAGTTGCTTCGGGTACTCAATAAGTAAAACTTAGCAGCACGGCTGCGTGTATGGTCCATGTTTGATATACGCTGACAGCACAGCAGCATTCACATCACTTGCGGTGAGGAAGGGCTAACAGCATATTTCACCATTGCCTTCGACTTGGGTAACTGAATTAACGCTAATGAACTGAACTTAGATACCAGTAGAAGCTTCGAGTGCATTTTGTGTCCCAAGCAATCTGATAACATAGGCTTGTAAAAAAGTGTCATACTGTAACGGTCAGCGACGACCGGCTGTGACGAAAAAAAAGGCACTTAGGCATGTTCTACCCCTTCCCGCACGCCACTTTTACGCGAGGGGAACAAAAGTGCAAGCTGCCGCCTCCAACAAAAGACCAGAAACATGGGCCGAACAAGAGGAGAGCGCTCGCCTTCCGCAAGTCACAAGACAAAGGCATACTTTGCACCGGATGTACAGTCAGCAGGCAGATGCGAATTGGTCCCCGGAATGAACACAAAATCCGCAAGCGTATAAAAGAACGAGTCAGCGTTGAAACGGAGAGAATATTATGTCGATATGGAGATTATGATATCTCTTGTAGACAGTTGTTGCCCTTTTGTATGTGCTCTGTACTTGCTAGTAAAGCCTTGTGATTAGATTCTGCGTCCTGTTGATTAGCATGAATGACAACAGTGGATAGGCTTTTCGAATTAGCCGATTGACGAGAACTCGAGGGAAAGGAGCGGACGAAGATGTTAGGGAAGCTAGCCAGCGGCCAATGGAAGAAGAGGCACAACGCCTGAGCAATTGGACCTTCCCAGTGAGAGATGGTCTCGGGACGACGGACAGCCTTCAAGACCTTCTTCAGACCCTGCTCGACGGCGAGTAAGACCTGAACCGGCAAATGCCACAACAAGTGTTGGTTTCCCCTACGCCGGCGCAAGAAATGGTGGAAAGCATTCTGCTGTTCTTGAGAGAATTTCACGAGCAGGTGTGTGATTGGCTGCGCCTAATAGGGCAGGCAACAGTCTTGCGGCGATGTCAGTCTGTGAGTGGCAACTCATCGCATCAACGAGGCCGTGAAATCTTGGCACTTCATCGATGGTGCAAATGTGAGATCTTTCTGCAAGTGACAGTTTTTCCTGATTTTCGGCAGCAGACATGGCAAATTTGAATAGAAACCACCCAGAAACAAGCATCGTTTGAGTCGGCGGCGAGGCACTTGTACGAGAATCTCAAGATGCTGGAAAGCAGCCCGGCACCGCTGATAAAGGACGAGATCCGCCATTTACAATGGTGTTGGCCAATGCTGACCAAGCAGCGGCGGTGGTCGCTGATAATCCTTGCAAAGTCGCAGGCGTGCTGCCTACCCTACAAACGCTTGAGGAGCGTAAAGATCACTGGGCATCAGTTGAGAGACCAGAGCCCACGATGGCAAGGTATTGTCATCCTCCTGAGACGAGCTCTGAAAATACCTGATATCCTAGACAGTTTGGTGAAAGCGATGGCGAGCGTAACTCAGCGGCAAGATCGGTTGGACCGTAGAGAGATGATTCAACCTGTCGAACGGGCGAGCCAACCAGAAATGTGACGGAGGTGATCAAACCGCCCAAAGCGAAAACATGGGAAAGAATGGTTTCTGATATGAGTGGAAAGGGCATTTTGCACGGAATTGTCCCATGAACCCCGGAAACGGTAGCGCTACATCGATGGAGCAGAGGTGATGGTGCACGTAGGGTTGGGCCAGATTGATGCCATTGTTGATTCTGGGCTTATTGTATCCGCAATTAGATGGGTCTTCGTTGGAAAACAGTACCAGAGGATAAGGTTGCATCGGGGTTGACTGCGATGTGCAGGTAACCGAGTTATCACGCCCATCGATGGTATCGAGGTGTACGTCATCTTTAAAGGTCAGAGGGCAGTTCTGACCGAAGTGGCGGTAATGGGAAACGTTTCAAATGATCGTTGGAATAGATTAGATGGCGTCCATGGAGGTGACGATATCGATAATAGGGCACCCAGTTTCAAATAGGAG